CGTACACCCACTAGAGAATGCACTGGTCTGTGTCCCAAAGATGTGTACATCCACCAGAGAACACCAGGAGAATGTGCACTACTCTGTGCCCCGGAGATGCGTACACCCACTTGAGAATGCACTGCTCTGTGCCCCAGAGATACGTACATACACCAGGAGAATGCACTGCTCTGTGCCCCTGAGATGTGTACATCAACCAGGGAACACTAGGAGAATGCACTGCTCTGTGCCCCAGAGATGCGTACATCCACCAGGAGAATGTACTGCTCTGTGCCCCCGAGATGCGTACATCCACTAGAGAATGCACTGGTCTGTGTCCCAAAGATGTGTACATCCACCAGAGAACACCAGGAGAATGTGCACTACTCTGTGCCCCGGAGATGCGTACACCCACTAGAGAATGCACTGCTCTGTGCCCCAGAGATGTGTACATCAACCAGGGAACACTAGGAGAATGCACTGGTCTGTATCCCAGAGATGCGTACATCCACTAGAGAACATCAGGAGAATGCACTGGACTGTGTCCCGGAGAATGTACTGGTCTGTGTCCCAGAGATGCGTACATCCACCAGAGAACACCAGGAGAATCCACTGCTCTGTGTCCTGGAGATGCGTACATAGACTAGAGAACACCAGGAGAATGTACTGCTCTGTGCCCCCGAGATGCGTACATCCACTAGAGAATGCACTGGTCTGTGTCCCAAAGATGTGTACATCCACCAGAGAACACCAGGAGAATGTGCACTACTCTGTGCCCCGGAGATGCGTACACCCACTAGAGAATGCACTGCTCTGTGCCCCAGAGATGTGTACATCAACCAGGGAACACTAGGAGAATGCACTGGTCTGTATCCCAGAGATGCATACATCCACTAGAGAACATCAGGAGAATGCACTGGACTGTGTCCCGGAGAATGTACTGGTCTGTGTCCCAGAGATGCGTACATCCACCAGAGAACACCAGGAGAATCCACTGCTCTGTGTCCTGGAGATGCGTACATCCACCAGAGAACACTAGGAGAATGCACTGCTCTGTGCCCCAGAGATGCGTACATCCACTAGAGAATGCATTGGTCTGTGTCCCAGAGATGCGTACATCCACCAGAGAACACCAGGAGAATGCACTGCTCTGTGCCCCAGAGATGCGTACACCCACTAGAGAACACCAGGAGAATGCACTGCTCTGTGTTCCGGAGATGCGTACATCCACTAGAGAATGCACTGGTCTGTATCCCGGAGATGTGTACATCCACTACAGAACACCAGGAGAATGCACTGCTCTCTGCCCCTGAGATGCGTACATCCACTAGAGAACACCAGGAGAATGCACTAGTATGTGTCCCAGAGATGCGTACATCCACCAGAGAACACCAGGACAAGGTCAAGGATGAGAAAGTAAAACAATTGGTTAGGACAGATGACAATGACTTTATGCTGAAAGGTAAAACAATTTAGAGCTTGCTGCAAATTATGTATTTCAGAAGCAATCAAAATAAGAGGAGAGGAGGAATCCCAAATTCTGAGCATTAACCCAGTTACTGGGCAATGAGTGTAAACAGCCAGCACATTTCAGCACAGCCGTTTTAATGCAAGAACATTTTATTTATTTTCTAAATTATCTTTATTCCAGTTATCCACCGCTTAACTTTGTAATTAATGCAGTGACCCCAAGTTCTTAACCATTTTCTTCTCTTCCATGTTAGGTTACAAGACTTTGTGCTGCCGCAGAAAATACAGAAAGCTACTACAAAACCTGAAACTTCAACAAGAGAAGCAAATTGCTCAGGAGGAGGCTGAGAGGGAACACAAGAGACAGCAGGAACAGGAAGCCCGTAAGTACCTCATTGTCATCAGTTTGTGGCAGTTGGTTGCAGGACGTAGCCACATGCCTGGAATGAGCTTGTTTCCTTATTAAATGTTTGACTACTATTTAGGGTCTGCCAGCCGTCCAGTTCCCATTCCACGAAAACGAGCTCCCCCAGCTAAGCCTTGCTCTGTGTCAGAAGCCACTTTAATAGAGCCACCAGTACCACGTCCAAGGAGCCGTCTTATCGAGGTACATTGTGAAGTATGTCTGCAGACTTTGTGGCGCGAGAGGTGGCTTGCCCAGTGTGGGAGGAAGGCGAGACTTGCAGAGTGTGGGAGGAAGGCGAGACTTGCAGAGTGTGGGGGGAAGGCGAGACTTGCCGAGTGTGGGGGGAAGGCGAGACTTGCCGAGTGTGGGGGGAAGGCGAGACTTGCCGAGTGTGGGGGGAAGGCGAGACCTGCCGAGTGTGGGGGGAAGGCGAGACCTGCCGAGTGTGGGGGGAAGGCGAGACCTGCCGAGTGTGGGGGGAAGGCGAGACCTGCCGAGTGTGCAGAGGAGGAAGGATGCATGGTTTGCAGAATGGGTATTGGAGACAAGTAGTGTAACGGCACCCCCAGGCATAAAAAGGGTTAAAAGCCGTTTAGTAGATATTCCCTTCCAGAGACACAGGCACAGCTACTGTAGACACCCATACACCGAACCGGAGAAGCATATGAATGCTCTCAAACATACGAATACTGTAAACTGCCGAATAGGAAAAACCATACGAATAGGTTTACACTCCTAGCAGTCAAACTGGAACAGCATACAATAAATCCCCCTAAGAACGAGACAAGGCTCTGTGTTGAGGGTCAAGCAGGAACAGACAGAGCCGTGGGTTTATTGTTCTTATATACACATTCTTACACATTAGTACCACCCATAGGGTTTTGGAAAACAACCAATAAACACATACAATACACTCAGACACTCCCACACAAAATCCTCCCCTCTGCCTGTGATACAATTACCTTACACAATGGGTAATATAATTATCACCAGCAGAGAAATACAGTTTTTCCACATTATTCATAATTTTAAAAGTATGCATCACATTCACGTATAACTTACATTTTCAGAATCAGCATACTCCAAATACAAACATACGTCAGAATCATACAAATTGGTCCAGTGGTTCAAAAAATAGATTGTAGTCCTTTGTGACCAAATGAAGCATGTCTTTTTTGCCCAAAACCAGTTCCACAGAGTCTTCTATCATTGAGATAATCGGGAAGTAATCCAATTATCTCCAAGGGCAGAGGCAAAACTCCATTGAACACATGGCAGCAAAAGACAATAAAACACATAAAAATATATAACTGTGCAGCCATTGCACAAAACAGGTACATTCAACATATCCCCAGATAGCTCAGATCTGAGCGCACATTATTACTGAATGGCGCTCAGAGCACACACATACAGTTCAATTGCCATGGAGCCAAAGTCTTTCATTATACGAATGGGCTCCATGGCATAGCTATCTGGGGTATCACCGCTCAAACAGGGCAAGCACCGAATGGCCCGGCTTTCGTGTCTTTGCAGGAGAAAATCAAGCGTTTCAACATGGGGCCATAGTCTAAAGGCAGCAGGCGGACAACCAGGCTCCTCCAGTGCACAGTGGTAAGATTGGTCTTCGAGAGAAATAGACTACATGGAAGGAGATGTTCTGCAAAGTGTTGGAGGGATCTAGTGATAGTCTCTATAAATTATCTCCAGGCACAGTCAACTGTCTTTAACACGAGTCCAGCAGCTTTTTGCGTCATGTGACTATGTGACCTGGAAAAATGTGCCCTCTTCCATATATTGTCTATATGCTCTTTAAGCAAAAATCTTCATGATGCTGAGGGTTTGCACTGGGGAACAGAATAATATACTCCTAATGTCTGGATAAATATATTGATCCATTTTTAGTTTGATAAATCGCACTTGGTTTCTTGTAGCTCTCTCCATTTGATAATCCGAAACCTGCTATTACTCGGGATCGTCGCAGTGCGTCACAGGCAAAGGACGGAGAGAAGAAGATGATGCAGAGACGCAAAACTTTGCTCTGGTTCCGAGACACGCAAGCCCAGAAGGTGATAACTGACGGAGAATACCCACCATGGCTACATGGCATGATATCTCGCAGGTAACACACAAAGAAAACTTTACTGTATGACGCTCGGTGTGATAATACACCGTACCCTCTGATTATGTTATAAGCACACTCTGTATAACGCTCGGTGTGATAATACACCGTACCCTCTGATTATGTTATAAGCACACTCTGTATAACGCTCAGTGTGATAATACACCGTACCCTCTGATTGTTATAAGCACACTCTGTATAACGCTCAGTGTGATAATACACCGTACCCTCTGATTGTTATAAGCACACTCTGTATAACTCTATGATAATACACCGTACACTCTGATTGTTATAAGCACACTCTGTATAACGCTCTGTGTGATAATACACTGTACCCTCTGATTATGTTATAAGCACACTCTGTAGAACGCTCGGTGTGATAATACACTGTACCCTCTGATTATGTAATAATCACACTCTGTATAACGCTCGGTGTGATAATACACCGTACCCTCTGATTATGTTATAAGCACACTCTGTATAACGCTTGGTGTGATAATACACTGTACCCTCTGATTATGTAATAAGCACACTCTGTATAACGCTCGGTGTGATAATATACTGTATATCTGTTTACACAGTAAAGATTACAATCTGCTCTGGCTGTAATTGTATCTTGTATTTTTTTCTCTTCATTTAGGGAAGCTGAGAATTTATTGACTGAGAAGCATTTAGGCGATTTTCTTATTCGGATCAGCCAGAACCGCACTGGATATATTCTGAGTTACAAGTTTGTGTCTTCTAAAAACAGATTAGTATATGATAATGTTTACCTGTCTCCAAATATGTGTATGTGGCTCTTTCTTTTTGTCTGGTTTGGGTGATCTGTCTCCCTCCCAGTGTCATGAAATACTCACTGCAGACACATCATGTCACTTGCATTTTGAATTGCAATTCCACGACTTGAACACGCCCTGTGGCGGACAACCCAATGGGAAGAGGGGTTTTGCCGCCAGAGATGTTCTTTTCCCCCAATCCAAGTAGAGCTGGAATGATCCTAGAAGCGATGATCCTAAAATGTAGTGAAATTGCTGTTATCGTTGTTCCCTACAGACTCGAGACAAGGCTCTGTTTTGAGGGTAAACTGGAACTGGTTTAATGGGAGCCACAGCTGTCCTTTAATGCAAGTCTCCATGCAAGGGGTTTCTGGTGACACATTCCAGGGGCATTCCCCACTGGACCTGAGGGGACAGCAACATAAACGCACACACAATTCCATTACCTCTCTGGTCCAGGACAAGTATTGTATCAACAGTATTGTATCAACGGATAGCCTGGCCCAACATATGTCGAAATCACTCAGATCCCACGAATATAGCCGAAATGCCGCCGGGGTATAGTTTAGACTAACCGCATACGAGGCTCCTGCCCAAAATAGATCCTCGAAATTAGGCTGTGCAGTCAGTCTATTTCGGGAATTTCAAACACAGTTATATACTTATATTTGTGTTCGTTGTAGCGGAACGCCAATATTAAATCCACGAATTCCGCTGGTTCAGGAAGTAATCCACAGTCAAGCGCTGAAACAACAAGGCAATATCCCCAACCTCCCAGTAACCGGACGAGACACAGTTCTGAGAGTCAACTGACATCCTTTAATTCGGCTGCACAATTTATACAAGTCCCCATGCAAGGGGTTTCCTGAGTCCCTTCCCAGGGGCACTCCCAGAGGGGACTACATGGGGGACTTACATTACAGCATATTTCTCCCATCAGGCACTGCTGCACGAGAGGGGTCCTCCTCCCTGAACCCACCGTTAAGTGGATTATCCCCTCGTGCAGCAGAACCGACAATTTACACAAAAATCCATAACTTTGTGAATATACGGTGGATTTACACGAATGGAGGTTCGGTAGATAGCTGGGGTCTGAGCGCATCATTCGTGAGATTACCGCTCAGATCCCAGCTAAAATAACCGAACGCTGCACGAAAAACACATTTCTTATAAAACATATAAAAAGAACAGATTGCTTGCAGGGAACAAAATACCGAATGGCCCGAAACTCCCGAACGTCCTGGAGGCTCAGCGGTGTTAGTGCCGTTTTTAGTACCATGCGCTCGACGACCTAGCACCGCTGAGGGAACAAAGGATCCAAGATGGCCGACCGCCGCATGGTCGGTAGTCGAACGACGGCCACCCAGGAGAGCCTCTAATTACGCCTCTAAGTGTGTGGGCTATTAGGGGTATTGCGTTCGGTTCACGAACGGCCCTCCAAAGTGCCGTTCGTGAAACGAAAGGAAATCCCCATACAAACCGCTATTTTCATTCGGCAGATGGCAAACACAGGCTATTCAGACAATACATGTAGCATACAACATACAGCGTAAAGCACATATCTCCCCAGACCTATAGGCAACCCTTAAAGGTATAGTCTCTGGTTATAATCCAAGTGGCTGGGTTTGCCACAATGCTCCCCCAGAACCAAGCCAGCATACACAGTCTGATCCCAACGGATCGGCTTGGGGATGTCCGGAGGAGCGCTCACAGATCACTTCTCAAGGTCTGTTTGTCTGGATAACCCGTCGGCATTACCGTTTTGTTTCCCTGGGCGATAATGGATCGTAAAGTCAAAGGGCTGCAGCGCCAAACTCCAGCGCAGCAGCCTGGCATTGTCTCCAGCCACATGGTTTAGCCATACCAACGGGTTGTGATCTGTGAGCAAGGAAAAGGGTTGCCCATAGAGATATGGCTGTAACTTTTTCAGGGCCCACACCACGGCCAGGCATTCTTTTTCTATGGCGGCGTAGCTCACTTCTCGGGGTAACAATTTCCGACTCAAATATGCTAAGGGATGTTCTCCGCCATCTGCTCCGACCTGGCTCAGTACTGCTCCCAATCCAAACATGGAGGCGTCTGTGTGGACAAGAAAACGTTTAGTTGGGTCAGGAGCAGCCAGTACAGGGGCATTGGTCAGAGCCGTCTTCAGTTGGTTGAATGCCTGTTCACACTCTGGGGCCCAGATGAAGTCAGTCAGGGGTTTGGCCAGGGCACTGTAATTGGGCACAAATTTTCTATAATACCCGGCGGTACCTAAAAAAGCAAGGACTTGGGTTTTGGTCCTAGGGGTAGGCCACTGGGCTACAGCTTCAATCTTTGCGGCTCAGGCTTCTGTTGCCCGCTACCGACCCGCTGCCCCAAGTATTGGACCTCTGCCATCCCTATGTGGCATTTGCTTGGCTTCAAGGTAAGCCCTGCCTCCCGGATCCGATCTATTACAGCCCCTATATGTTGTAGGTGATCCGACCAGGTCTGACTGTAGATGGCAATATCATCCAGGTATGCACACGCATAATCCTGGAACCCGTCCAGTAGCCGATCCACCATCCGCTGGAAGGTCGCGGGGGCGTTCTTCATCCCGAATGGCATGACCCGAAATTGGTACAAGCCAAACGGGGTGACAAACGCCGACTTGGGAATGGCATCTTCGGCTAGTGGAATTTGCTAGTATCCCTTACAAAGATCTATTGTAGTGAGATACTGACCCCTGGCCATCCTATCTAGCAGTTCGTCTATCCGAGGCATCGGGTAGGCGTCCGACACGGTTTTGTCGTTCAACCTCCGGTAGTCCACGCAGAACCGGGTGGTACCGTCTTTCTTGGGAACCAGGACTCCCGGCGATGCCCAGGGGCTATCGGAGTGTTCAATAACCCCCAACTGCAACATCTCTTCAATCTCCTTCCTCATATGTTCCCGCACGGATTCAGGAATCCGATATGGGGTCTGTCGCATGGGAAGCTGTCCCGGGGTTTCTACTCGGTGAGTGGCTAGTGGAGTGTACCCAGGTAAGTTAGAAAAGGTGGCACCCTTTGTCGCTATCAGTTCTTGTACCTGGGTACGCTCTTGAGGACTTAGCCGCTCCCCCAGCTGAACCCCCTGGGAGGGCTCCTTCTGCTCCTTCTGCTCTAACAGATCTGGAAGAGGCAAGTTCTCCTGATCTTCTGAGGCGGGTGTGCAAATAGCTGCCACGTCCTCAGTTCGCTCGTGGTAGGGTTTGAGCATGTTCACATGGAGCATGCGTCTCTTCCCTACTCCGGAGCATGGGCCGATCACATAGGTGGTATCGCATCTCTGCTCTACCACCAGGTATGGACCATGCCAGACGGCCTGTAGTGCGGACCGGTTTGAGGATTAACCCCTTCTGTCCCACTTGAAAACTACGGTCTCTGGCCCCTCTGTCATACCAACGACGCTGTCATTGCTGGGCGGCTTGGAGGTTGGTGCGCACTGCCTGGGTTAATTCCTCCAGGCGATCCCGGAACGCCAGCACGTATGGTACAATAGGGGTCCCATCTGCGCTACTCTCTCCCTCCCAATGCTCCCTAATGAGATCCAACGGTCCCCGGACCCTTCTCCCAAATAACAGTTCAAATGGGGAGAAACCGGTAGACTCTTGGGGTACCTCTCTGTAAGCAAACAACAGATGGGGAAGGAATCGTTCCCAGTCCTTATGGGTCTCTCCGAATGTCCGAAGCATCTGTTTTAGGGTACCGTTGAACCTCTCACATAATCCGTTGGATTGAGGGTGGTAGGCTGAGTTAAGGATTGGCTTAATGCCACATATCCTCCATAACTGCTGAGTAACCTCAGCCGTGAATTGTGTCCCCCTATCGGAGACCATTTCCTGTGGGAACCCTACTCTTGAGAATATTTTCATCATGGCTTCGGCCACGGTCTCAGCGTGAATATTGGTTAAGGCAATCGCCTCGGGGTACCGGGTGGCGTAGTCCACCACGGTCAGTATATACCGCTTCCCAGAGGGGCTGGGTTTTGGTAGTGGCCCCACTATATCTACAGCTACATGGCTGAACGGTTCCTCAATTATAGGTAGGGGACACAGTTTCGCCTTGTGGCGATCCCCTCTCTTGCCTACCCTCTGACACACATCACAGGAGGTACAATAGTGTCTTACATCCTTAGAAATCCCGGGCCAAAAGAAAGCGTGCGTTAAGCGATACCGGGTCCGGGTCATCCCTAAATGGCCGGACAGAGGGATGTTGTAACGGACCGTTTTGCACACAAGGGGTAAAAACTGTTTAGGCGATCGGCCCCCTTTCCAGAGATGCAGGCACAGCTACACCAAAACTCACGAACTGGATACAAAATAGCACTCCAACTCCCGAACTGGAACCTCCCAAATAGCTGCTAGCAGACGAACAGGAAAAGCAGACGAACAGCTTACACTCCTGGCAATCAGTCTCTAACAGCATACAGTGAATCCCCCCAAGAACGAGACAAGGCTCCGTGTTGAGGGTCAAGCAGTGGTCTGAGGTGCTGGCACACCCAGCCTGGTTTTTATTACAGTGTTTCAAATACAGGACCACCCACAGGGAGGGATAAAACAACCAATCATATCACAGTTACATCCCACATATTCCCTCCCTTTATCCTGAGAGGAAACTCAATTATACAAACAGTTAAAACATACTTTCTACCCAACTTTCATAACTCCAAAACCATACATCACATTCACATAAAATTACATATTCTCAATCAATCCATTCAGGGGAACAACATATTCAAAAATGGCACAAATCAGACAAGGGGTTCAAAGTTAGTAAAAAGTCCTTTGTGACTAAATGAAGCATGGCTTTCTGGCCCAAACCAGTTTCAGAGTCTTCTATCCTGGAGATAAGTAATTCAATTATCTCCCAGGACAGACACAAGACTCCATTAAGCACATGGTTGCAAAGAGACACAAAACAACACTTTAAAATACATAAAGTCACATTTATTACATAAAACACAGACATGTAACGTATCCCCAGATAGCTCAGGTCCGAGCGCACATTATTAAGTGAATGGCGCTCAGACCACACGAATACAGCTTAATCGCCATGGAGCTAAAGTCTTTACAGTCAGTTTCATACGAATGGGCTCCATGGGATTCCTATCTGGGGTATAACACATTCAAACAAATCTACTGAACCCCAGGCAGAAAAGCACGAATACAGCTTTTCTGCAGGCAAAAATAAAGTCTTTAAAAAGGGGGCCATAGTCCAAAGGCAGCAGGCGAGCAACCAGGCTTCTCCAATGCAATGTGGCGAGATTGGTCTCGTCACATCTCTCCCCTTTTCCAAACAGACTAACAGGGTATCTGACCTCCTGCCGGTCAGTGCCCTTGTTAGTCCAGCAGCCCACCCACAACAAATAATCAACAGCACAGCCCACCCACACTAAATGGTTACTACACCTGGGTAAAGGAGAAGCTTGTCCATGTCCAGGTGCCTCACCACGGCTGTGCTGGGTACGGGTACGCTGACTTGGTGGGTTGCTGTGTGGGCAGAGACCAGCGGGACTCTGCCCTGTTGCCAGCGCTACTGGGAGGGTAGCCTGGTTGAAGCCTGGTTGTTGGAGGGGGAGACCGACTGTCTCCCCTTTAACTACACCACTCTGCTGCTGGAGACCGACTGTCTCCCCTTTAGACACACAGCTCTGCTGCTGGAGACCGACTGTCTCCCCTTTTGTTGCACAGCTCTGCTGCCGGAGGGGGAGACCGACTGTCTCCCCTTTGGATACTCTAAGCTGTCGCTGGGGAGAGGGGGTAACAGGCTCCTCTCCCGATAGAACACTCTGCCGCTGGGAAAAGGAGACTGAGCTCTCTATTCCCTGCCCATTAATGATCCGCCGCTGGGGAGAGGTGGTAGCAAGCTCCTCTCCCATACATACTTTCATCCTCTGTGGAGGGAGACCAACTGTCTCTGCTCCCAATACAGTGTCCTGCTGCTGGGGAAAGGAGACTGGGCTCTCTATTCCCGGTAGGACACTCTGCCGCTGGGGAATGGAGACTGGGCTCCCAATTCCCTGCTGTATCTCCCGCTGGGGAATGGAGACTGGGCTCCCAATTCCCCAAAAATCATGCTGCTGCTGGGGGGCAGGAACAACTACCTCTGCCCCCTGTAGCCCAGCCTGCCGCTGGGGAGGGAGGACGCTGCTCTCCTCTCCCTGCACTTCACACTGCCTTCCTGGCATATCACGCTGCTGCTGGGGGGCAGGAACAACTACCTCTGCCCCCTGTAACTCAGCCTGCCGCTGGGGAATGGAGCTTGGGCTCCCAATTCCCTGCAATATCTCCCGCTGGGGAATGGAGCTCGGGCTCCCAATTCCCTGCAATACCGGTGGAGAGACCTCGGTCCCCTCTCCGCCTGCCGCCTGGGGTTCCTCCCAGTAAATTTCAACAATATCTTCCCAGCTGAATGGGTCTGAGACTGGATCTGTCACTCTGCTGTCCTGCGGAGCCTTCCCAATGGAGTGGAAGAGATCTCGGTAGTCCTGCTCCAGGTCCCACTCCAGGGTTGCTAGGTGAGCCAGGTCTTGCTCTACCTCATGGGGGTCATCCCAGTCATGCCTAGCCTCCCTCTCGTAGAAAATTTCCTGAAGTCTGTTCTGCGCAGGGCTCCCGAAGTCAGGCTCTGCAAAGGACTCCCGTAACAAGCCAGGACCATCAAACTCCTCTCCCTCTGGCTTGTCATGCTCAGCTGTCCAGGGTATATACTGTGCCATATACCACCAGAGCGCCTGGTAGGCATCCTCCAGCCATAGCTCCTGCCATACCCGATGCTCTAGTTCCTTCACCCATTCCTCCAGGGGCTGCTCTCCCATGAAGGGCATCCGCAGGGCCACTTGCTTCTGCAACCGCTGCTCTTCACTGGGGAGACTCTCACCCCACTGGTATTGTACATTATCCAGGGCCTGGTACCAGATGCCTTTCCTTAATGCATCCCGGCCATCCAGGTCCTCCTCCTCGTATAACACTGCTGGTTCCATCTCGGTGCTGTCAGGGTTGCTGTACTGGGACATGCGTTGCCCTCAAATTGTAAATCCACAGTATGGTGTCACCTGTAGCTGTCCTGTTGTCTGTGGGAACGATCCCGCCGCTTGCCACCAATTGTAACGGACCGTTTTGCACACAAGGGGTAAAAACCGTTTAGGCGATCGGCCCCCTTTCCAGAGATACAGGCACAGCTACTGCAGAACACCAAACTCCCGAACTGGATACAAAATAGCACTCCAACTCCCGAACTGGAACCTCCCAAATAGCTGCTAGCAGACGAACAGGAAAAGCAGACAATCAGCTTACACTCCTGGCAATCAGTCTCTAACAGCATACAGTGAATCCCCCCAAGAACGAGACAAGGCTCTGTGTTGAGGGTCAAGCAGTGGTCTGAGGTGCTGGCACACCCAGCCTGGTTTTTATTACAGTCTTGCAAATACAGGACCGCCCACAGGGAGGTATAAACAACCAATCACATCACAGTTACATCCCACATATTCCCTCCCCTTATCCTGAGAGGAAACTCAATTATACATACAGTTAAAACATACTTTCTACCCAACTTACATAACTCTAAAACCATACATCACATTCACATAAAATTACATATGCACAATCAATCCATTCAGGGGAACAACATATTCAAAAATGGCACAAATCAGACAAGGGGTTCAAAAGTTAGTAAAAAGTCCTTTGTGACTAAATGAAGCATGGCTTTCTGGCCCAAACCAGTTTCAGAGTCTTCTATCCTGGAGATAAGTAATTCAATTATCTCCCAGGACAGACACAAGACTCCATTAAGCACATGGTTGCAAAGAGACACAAAACACTTTAAAATACATAAAGTCACATTTATTACATAAAACACAGACATGTAACATATCCCCAGATAGCTCAGGTCTGAGCGCACATTATTAAGTGAATGGCGCTCAGACCACACGAATACAGTTTAATCGCCATGGAGCCAAAGTCTTTACAGTCAGTTTCATACAAATGGGCTCCATGGGATTCCTATCTGGGGTATAACACATTCAAACAAATCTACTGAACCCCAGGCAGAAAAGCACGAATACAGCTTTTCTGCAGGCAAAAATAAAGTCTTTTAAAAGGGGGCCATAGTCCAAAGGCAGCAGGCGAGCAACCAGGCTTCTCCAATGCAATGTGGCGAGATTGGTCTCGTCACAATGTCCATATACAAAATTACATAAATAATTATATAAATATACACGTAGACTTCAAATATATAAATATGCTTATATATTTAAATTCTATGTGTGTATTTATGTAATATTTTTACATAATTAAGTAATTTTATTGATTGCAATTTGATGGGACCTGCCTGTCAACCCATGCCGAAATTCCAGAGAATTTAATTTGCTAGCACTGTATTTTACCCTGTAACGTTCGACACCCTAAAACCTGTACATGGGGGGTACTGTCAGGGCCGGACTGGGGATACAAAGCAGCCCTGGAAAAAAAATTTCTGCCAGCCCCATAAGTCACTGCGCCATATATTGTTGCGTGTAATATTTAAGGCTATGTCTTGCCAGAACAGATGATTGAGTAATATATATATATATATATATATATGTATTAAGGCAGTTTTGCCTGTATTTGTGGGAGGGGCTTAAATGAATTCACTCCCCTATATAAGGGACACCCCTTACCTGACTCATATCGCTTGAGGTCAGCATCAGAATGATTTCCACTTCCGGGTCATCCAGACGCCATTTTACCTGATTACTCCATGAGGTTTTCTAAGCTGAGCTGTGTCAGGAATCCAGCCACAGGCTTTTCCGGCCTACCACCTTCTTTCTTCAATCTATCGCTGTGGATGGTGTCCAAGTGACTCACAAACCGTAAGTTGACCTACCCGTTACGCCAGGCATCAGTCCCACGGCACCAT